GCGAAATGATGGACATGTCTACCCTCCTGCGAACTGGCTCAGAAGCTACGGCCGATTCTATGAAAATGGCACATTCGTACAATCCTGAAGGAAAGGACAACCCTCTTCGCCAGCTTGCCCAGACAACATGAAGGCGTCAACAAAATGGAGTGCTCCGGAGTTTACAGCATGACCTGCAAGGACTGTGAACAAAAATACTTCGGAGGGACGGGAAAGACAAGCAGCATAAGCAGCTAAAAGAGCACCAGCGACCATGCAGAAAAATGGATACGGAAAGATCGCAAATTTCTGAACACATCGCCCTTACCTGCCACGCAATTGACTGGAATGCAACGGAAGGACTGGCCTAAAACGGAGAAAACACCAGGAAACGGAAGATGAGGGAGGCTGTGGACATGCTCTATCAAAGAATCCTGATGAACAGGAGATTGCAAGAGAGCAGATTCAGCGATGACTTCGCGAACTTGGAGATCCAACGAAGACATAAAAAGGAAGACACTTGGACTCAGAACAACTGTTCAGCCACAGGAAACGACATCACCAAGGCGCAGCTCATGTGGAACAAAGTGAAGTCAAGACAAGGCGACTGTGAGACGTAGGATATGAAATTAAAGGCTAAAGGTATAGGCGGGCGAGACATAGATCACCCGTGTGTGTTTGTTGCTTGTGGGCATTTTTCGTATCTGTGCCTGAAGGGAAGACGACTGGTGACAAGCTTGTCCAACAGAGATACAAATCCCCCCCCCACAGACAAACACAGAGGAACACCATCCATTACTCTATGATTAGGTGGGATTGTAAATTTTAGAGAAGAGACGAGTGTGCTTTTCGCGATTCATAGTGAAAAAAGGCAAGTGGTTCATTTTCACACCAGCGGTTATGACTTCAGCCAGACACAGGGCCCCAGAGAAGGAGACAAAATGCAGGTGGGGATGAGGGAGAGGATAATCGAGTCATGAGTTTGAAGCCTAGAGAGAGGAAGGTTCCCAGGCCTTGGCATGTGCATGTGCGTGGGCATCATCTAACCTCTCGAGCATGTAGTATTCGAGGATTGGAATGGAAGGCTCTTAGGCAGCCAGATTTCAGACAGCCAAACAGTTATTTTGTTAGAAGTTGTTTGACCTTGTTTTCGCAACTCGATCACATTGGTAGGAAGACTTAAAGAAACGCACCTAGTCCGGAGCCCGTTGTATGCATCATCGTTTCCAGAGTGGGACCGGGGACGTGGTACATTTTGTTATTTAGAGCGGCCAAATCACATACAAGTAGGAAAAAAAAGGGGGGCAGAATGTAGGTCAGGAGGCCTGCAAACGGCATCTGGTACCGGTGGTGGAGATAATTACGTTTCCCTAAGCCCACTTGTAGAGGCACACTCTCAGGCGAAATTGGAGGAAATGAGAGCAGAGAATTGTGTGAATAGATAACTTGGTCATATGAGGTGTAGTTGCGTGAGAGAGATGTAGCACTAGAATGTATAACAAAAAATGGAGGCTTGACGATGGCACCTTGTGCTGACGATGCCGACGAAACATTTGGGAATGTATCAAATGACTGGTCCAGTAGTGGAAATCACGAATGCTATGTCAGAGTACACGGGACTAGGTACGTTCCACAAGTTCTCACTGAAGCTCCGACCAAGTGCTAAAATAATGTCGAATCAACACTTCAAAGTGCAATGAGACTGTGACAAAACAGATCTTGGTATTCATGTCTACGATATAATTGCTCTTCTCTTGGTGTCCATAAAACCAACTTATACCCACATTGAAAAGAATAAGGGACTTGTAATTGAATATCTGACTTTAAGCGATTGTTGTTTGTATCTCTAAATGCCTCGTCTTTTCAACGCCTGCATACCCCTAAACGTAAATAACAGAACTCCTAAGACTCCTAATCTCCCATCAATAAGGCTTGTTACTAAATGCTAATAGAACTTCTGTAAATTCATTTAGTTTTGCTAACCTGACAGCCAGAACCTCCTACGGCCGTGGCGTTTTCAACAAAGCACTGACTTATGATACACCAAATGCCCAAACTTGCCTCCCTCTCGGCCAGGGACCACTTTCAAACGCTCTCTTCCTCCAAAACAATATAGAACCCACCGGTTGATTCAGAGAGCCGACGAACAGGCAGGAGAAGCAATCACCAAGTGACTTGGTCAAACCGACGAGTCGGCCTACCAAGAGGCATTCAGACTCGCTTGCCGTGCCAACTGCCTTGAAGACCAAAGAGCCATTCCTGGAGCAACTTTTCATTCTTTGATATGCATAACATTTCAAACAACAAGCTAGAGCGAGATATTACAACGGCCATTAATTACGGAGTATATGTCTACAAAAGGAAGCATTTATGGTACATAATCAACTTGTCAAAAGTATCGTCTATCAGAACGTTCTTATAAGCCCGCCGAATGAGACGGTTCTGACAACTGATTCTCAACAGAATGACACAATCAGGAGAATTTTCCCTGTCTTCCAATAATGTAAAGAGGCGTTTAAAATCATAAAAGTGGTGTTTAGAGCTTAATCTTGTCACACAAGGCAGAATGAATAATCAACGCAGCGTAGATAGTGCCGAATTGGCTAGTTATCGTCCACCGACATTTCATAAGTCTGCTTCCCACACGCATCAGATTCTTTCGCCAAATTTGTGCTGGTCGCAACCGGGCTTATCAGAGGATGGCGAACGTTGCTATGCCTCACACCGTAGGTCATGTAGATTGTCAATCCTATGAAAAGCAGGAAAAGTATGCAGTGTTAGTGCTTCTGCATTGGTTATTATGTCAGAATCTGTGAATGGCATTGCTGAATTTGGGCTCCCTTTTTTTTTCTCAATTCTAAGTGAATAGAACTTTACTAGGTTCAATTGCCTCAATCTTGAGTCCACCCACATTCCCACACTTTACTTAATAATCCTCTAGAATGTTCAAAACAAAGATTTCAAAGCAATCTTTCGTTTTGTACTATTCAAAGCAAGTAGCTTAGCAGACAATTGTCTAAGTGAGGCTCGGGTGGCGCCTATAAAGAAGGATACTACAATTTTCTATCGTGATCATTTTATTCTGTCCTTCCCCTGGCCAGGATACCGGATTATGAAGCGGCAATTGGCAGAGTCCGCCCATAGCTTCAACCTTTGATCCAGGTCCGGACAGAAGAGGTCAAGCTATAATGCTTATAAGAACAAAGTATTTTTCCTATTAACCTCTCGAGTTGAAAGGATTGGGATTCCGTCCATTTCGGATGAAATTGTGCGATGAAGAGATTCGTAAATACGACTGATGAGCTCCCTTGACCTGCTGTAGTTTGGATTTACTGGAGCCTTCTGGTTAGCAGTCTTAAAGCAGATCACTTTCGGTGCCGGTGAAAACTTTCTCAGATTTCGTCTAGTATATTCCGAGCATCATCAGCAATAGGTACCATTATTAAGGTTACATCGGGATAACAACTCAAGAAGACCAATTGGCTTATTCCTACATTTAGTATATTATATATATATATA